TATATATATATATATATATCTATATATATAGATAGATAGATAGATAGATAGATAGATCTCAACCTCTTTATTTAAATTGAACAAAAAACAAAGAAAATGATAGTAAAAGAGACCAAGTACATGAACTCTGCTCATACAGTGACAGTCATTTTGTCTCATATTTTGAAAATATTTTTTCTTAAATTTTGAGCTTGTTCAGGCTCTGATTCAGGATAGCACTTAAGCTTGACCCTATCTGTTCAAGATAATACTTAAGTGGTAGCTATACATTTCCTGCTTCCCACTTGAGTGAGCCAGTATCATCTGAACTGATTGGAGTGATAAAAAGCCCCTGTTCTCCCAATAAGCATGTGTAATTATCATTCATCACAGCAGCAACAAAACAAATACTGATTCCAAAGGAACATCGACCCCCGCCTGTTGACTGAGGCAAGTTCAGTCCTGGTTCCCCATTTTACAACTTGCTCCCTTCTGCAGCATAGAGTGAAGAGGAGTAAAGCCATGTTAATCAAATGGAAAAGAAAGCAAGTGAGCATACATATCGATAATGGAAACATGCCATATTGCACACACAGTGCTCTGTGCAAATTGGGGTGGGTGGCCTGACTTGCCAGGAGAGGACAAAGGTTGAGAGACATAAGAGTATGTCACTGTACATTGATCCTCCCTAGTGCAGTCATGTGGAAGGGCCAGTATATATAAGGTGGCCATCTGTAGATCCTACAAACTGCTGGTTTTGTCTCCTCTCTTTGCCAGGCTGGCACCCTTACTGGCTTTATAACCAGAAGATGTAAGTTTTTGCTACCATGTTTGTGCCTTTCACAGGATGTAGAAGGGAGATATATACCTAAAAAGAGAGTTAAATTTAGAGTAGAAAGGAGATAGACCAAGCAGAATGTGCTACAATGCATTTGACTTAGGCTTGAATGTTAGGCTTAAATCAGACTAAGCCCAGCTCAAGGCTAAGCTTGTGAACGTTTTGTAGATTGGTCTGCACTCCCCATTTCTTCTCTATTTCTCTTTCAGACTTTATGCACTTTCAGACTTATTAAAAATATGCCGTGGGTCAAAAGCCCAGGTTCCCTTTCATCTTCCCAGCCCTGAGGAAAATTTGAAAAATGAGCATATAAAAAACATATTTTTCTTTCAGTTGTCACTGTCCATCCCAACTCTTTCTGTGGTCCCCTGGCTTTCATAGCTTGCCTCATGCACACCAAAACAGTAGTTCTTCAGCCCTTTTATCCCACAAGCCACTTCGTAAGAGAAATATCTGTCAATGGATCACCTCCTCTCTCAATCCCCCAGTGCCTGATTCTCAAAGTGGTTCATTCTGCGGCTCATTAGGAAAGGTACTGTAGACAACTAGTGTTCTCTGAACCACATGTTGAGAGCTGCTG